AATGGAGAATTCTGGAATCGACCTCGACACTATTTGATGCAGTAAAACAACTTCACATGACCTTATCTAGTTTTCGCCTCCACGATCAAATTTCTTTCCTGTTATAAAACTACGATAAGACTGCTGAAAAAATGGAATAAATATATCGCTGATCTCAACATAATACATCAATAAACTTTAAGCCAAGGGTGTTGCTCACAACAAAGTTATATAAGAGAATTGACTTCGAGCTTTATTTTTCCCAGATATCTGTATTACATTCATCTGGTGTCTGGGTTTTTTCTAAATGCGAAGACAATATTTCTATATCTCTTTATTTGTTGCACAAACAGACTTTAAAGCAGACTGTTCCGACTGACTCTGGTGTCAGAAAGAACAACCAAACTGTAAATTCACCATACATCAAATTATGTGCAATTTATATGATAACTTATCCATGCCTGTACAATTGGTATGTTCCTGCATAAACAGGAATAGATATGAATATATGTAAAATTATTTAGTGTGAATCTGATCTGCAAATAATCTTTGTGAGAGAATAACGCCTCAAAAGTATGAATGTTTTAGATATTGTCTTCAAATTTGCCAACAATCCTCTAATACTGGAAAACTTGGGAGGTGTGTTGATGCATACCGTGTCAATATAAAAACCAGAAATGTCCTACAAATACTGACAACGTAGTTCAAGATTGAACGATCAATTCATGGTTGTTTGATCAGGCGCAAATCCATAAATTTGGCGGGAGTCATCAATACGGAAGTCATCGTTTCATCTTTCGCTGCTCCTTGGAAGAGAGGGAACTATCAGAAGTATTATTGTGATTTATTGTTATGACATTTATTCTTAGACTTTGTGCACCATAACCTGATGGTTGGCTCTGTATTGGTGCAAGAATAAACGGCTCTTGAGTCACCAATTTGCGTTCTGGTATTTCGTGTTAGTTATTAAGCATAGTTTCTGAAAGTCTTCCAAGGGCAGCGTGAGGTTCAGTGTAATAAGTCCTGTACATTTACAAATACTTTTATTTACATGGGAATTGCACTGTTCCTTAACAGTTTCATTGCATTCATAGGGTATTGCAATATGTTTAATCATCTTTTTTAGCTTTATCTTGCACTAGTCCTTAATTGTGCTTTGTTTTTTCGGTATACGGTGGTTTTCTAATATGAAATCATCTGTAACGCCATTCGGTCAAAACAGCGCTAATAGGCCTCATCAGAATTTTATTTTGTAAATTAATGAGATGTTTGACATACTCTTGATTTCTACTGGCTCTAGTCTTTTTCAGTGCGTCGCTATACTATGTGCTTTTTTAAGTGAATTCGGATTAATGCGTGTTTAGCTTATTTAGTGGGATGGAGATTCACTATAGTATTATGAGTCTGTTACTTTAGTCATTCACAGGATTTCGCGTCTACTTCTATACAATAGCACATTGTAAAAACTAATTAGGATTTAGCAAGTTGAGTAATAGTTCTGTGGTGGTCATTACGCTAAAGTCACCTTATCTAGCCGGTCGCATATCTGTATACCGCTTAACGCCAAGTATGTAGTACAGGTAAATGTAGTAACTTAGGGATAGTAGCTACTTCATTAGGCCGTCAATACAGAGTGACATCATCAAATAGACTGCTTACTTGGCGATGAGCTGAGAAACAATTTCTATTGATTTCTAATATGCAGTTGAATCATGCGATATCATCAAGCACGCATCATTTTTATGATCAACAATTGCAGTATTTGCATATCTACCTTACGGATATTAAATAACTCGCCCAATTATGTATCTAATTACAACCGGTATTACAGCAGTATTGCCTATTCATTTGATGTGTGTACACTGAACAAGTCTTCCATACATTCTCCAACAAATACCAAGCTTTCTAGTGTCAAAAGTGTTAATGAAACCTGCTTCCCTGGTTTCGATACAAATGATGTTCCAGTTACTGAACCCTTCTTGTAGCTTAGGTCCAGATGGTTTTCCTAGCGTTATTCTCGAAAAGTTTGCAGATATACTATTTTTCCCTCGTTGGCATATTTAATGAATCTTTTTCAGAATTGTCACGCCAGCCATTTGGAAGGACACTAAAATTGTACCTATACTTAAGTCACCTACTGAAACATGTATTAAATTTAGAACTATTGCTATTACCTCTCTTTTACTAAAAAGTGTGAAAACGTTACCCTTACTTAATCTTAAACCTTCACTTAAAGCCTTTAACAATCCCAAACAATTCGCTTACAAACATGGTAGAAGTACTTTAGATGCAGCTGCAGTCTTGCATCATAACACTGTCTCCAGTTTACACAAAGGGGCTAAATTCGCTGTTCACACTTACTAATTCTCATCTGTTTAGTTGAAATAACCATAACCACTTGTAATCATATCAAGGTGGTATGATTATGAGCAATAAATTGTGCTCGAAACGTCATCAGTAAACATTACTGTATAACACTGTGAGGCCTTATTAAAACAAAATTTACCAATTATGGAATTACACTGTACCATGGTGCAGAAGTTTTATTCTTGTATCACTAGTAATCTTGTTTAACAAACATAATATACACACACATACGAAATGACATTCGCTAAGTATGCGGACGATCTAAACATATCAATGTCTGCTAATTCCCAGCTATACTTCCATCAGGAGTCAGGAAATGGTCTTAAACTGAATCCTTCCAAATGTCACTGTCCAGTGTAAAAGAGAGTTAAATGAAGCTGTTAATTCCTATGACCGTTGCAAAATTGATGGTAGTGATATAGAAATCAAGTCTGATGTTAAGTATCTGGGACTAATTCATCACAAAGTGTGTCAGTTTTAAATGTATACCACATGAAGATATGTTTATGAGCTAGGTATGCAAATCAAACTAAACGCATGTACGGTACATTCATTATTTATAAGACTAACTAGTATGTGAGAACTACGATTTGACCACTAAAACATCGTATGATATCTTTAGACGTAATCAACATAAGCTCCTTACCTCCGTGACGCATCACCTAAAGCTACGTAGCCAACTAAAAATAGACACGGCCGGAGGTAATCTCCTGTAGCTAAAACCTTAATTATCAACTTAACCTTATCTTTGAATTACAAAGTGAACGTGAGAACTATCTTTGCAGAAAGATGGTCTCCTATTCGAAAAAGTAAATATATCCTAATATCTAATGAAGTATTTGAAGGTATTTATCCTATCACCTCAAGTGACTTACTATTTGCAGTCACTTAAAAAGTAAGAATAAATTTACCAAAAACTATGCTTATGATTTCTAGATGTTATAATGTACCATGAGGGAAAAGCTATATCCATAGGGTTATCGCACTTAGAAGCGTGATATTACTCCTAAGCATATCGACTACGGTTATCAGTCACATAACATTCTACTTTGCTATCTATTCATCTAATCGTGTCAACAAATGTTTCTCCTAGAAAATGAAGGCCACAGGTTCAAGGAAAATTTACTTTAAGTTTTCTTGAAAAATGTGGATATCTCGTATTTATGCCCATCGAGAAATTACATACATCTGAAAAGTAAAAATTCGACTATTTGAACTGATACAAGCAATTTGTATTCGGTCAAAGTTTTCCCTCCGAATAATAATCAACTTCTCGGCCTGTTGTAACTGCGAAATAATCACCGATTGTAGTCCGAACTCCTAAACGCTATTCTTGCTAACTGAAGTGCTACCTTTGATGAAGAAAGTTTGTTCACCCAGCAGATAATTGGATGCTATCCGCTTTTTAAATCGTTTCGCAACAGATTGGATGGTTGTTAACATTGGGTTTACTACAGACAGTCCCAGTTCATTTATTTTATCTAGTACATAAGGCTTTAACAAGCAGGGATAACACTTACTCTTTTGAGGTTTCCGATTGCCTCCGGACTTCTTTTTGTTTCCAAAACTACATACAAACACCACATATTCATACTTCACATATGGATCATCACTACTTGATTTAGATTCTCTCAAAGCATATGATTTTTTAACTGATAACAGACACAGTGATGGTATACTCACCTTGTCGAAAAGCTGCAAAGCCTATTCATCTTCAATCCGGGTTCTAAATTCACCAGGATTACTATGTTTTTCGAAATCTTTGCTAATATCAACTCTGATTGTGCTCTCTTTACTAGATTCACTCGTAGATTGTTGCATGCTGTAAACATGAGCGTAAAAGACATTGTTTTTTCCAGATTTATACACATAAAGTAAAACAGTTTAGCCAGCAGCAATACCCGCAGCCAACACATGGACTAGAAACAACAGCTTCTGCCAACCAAACATGTTTATGTGGATAATTTTCAAAATTTCCACACAGTACTGTTTCATAAATAGCTGAAAAACAATTAAATACTGAAACCACGCATGAACGCAACATATGAAACGATTACAATGGAGTGGATAAACTGATCTGATGGTAAAAATATTGGAAAAAAACGAAATAACTAATTTTAGCAGCAGCAGAAACAAAAATGATGTGAATAACTGCAGGATAACATAACCATTTTATAAATGAACGGCTAGGGAACTGTATTACAACATGGCAGACTAACATTGACGAAAATGACCTTCAGATGTCTGACCCCATCAATGACCTTGAACGCGACGGGCAAGTTCAGTCTGATATAGTTGTAAGAAAAACAAAGGCTTCGTCAAATACAACTGAGAATATCGTTGTAAAACATTTACACATAGAATGTGTTGAGTTTGGCGATATGGTGATGGTAAAAATGGTTTCAACATATTCAGCTGTGTTTCACGACGTGGAATCGAACAAACTTCAACACTTGAAGAGTTCACACATTTCAATCTTATTATTTTGAGTATCCTGGAGGCATTATTTATTCATAATGAGATATTTTAGCGGGAGTATAATAATTGTTAGGGCTTATAAGCCTGTCTTCGGTGCTACTATTGCCTTCTTGTTTGTTTAAATCAGGAACCGGCCTTCACACGTGCATCCGTTAGACAACAGTTTGTTTTTGGCCATGGATGAAGCGAGAGAAGAGAAAGTTTATTTTGCGAAGGTTGCTGAACAGGCTGAGCGGTACGATGGTAAGTTTTATAATGCTGTTGCATGCGTGAATAAATGGTAGAAGGAATATACTAAGTTAGTTAACGACAAGTGATGTATGAGGACATACCGGGCACGTTAGAGGTTTGGTCGAATGGAGTTCTTCGAGTTACCTGGTATATGAAGATATATTTTTGAGCTGGAAAGCTCATAGTACCAAAAATCTAACCAATCACTTCCTAGAAGTTTGTGGGCTCAGCGACTATGATAAAGTTGCCATAATTGCGGTTGTCAGTGCGTTGGCATCTGTATAGATATGCAACTGAGTACTTCACACCGTTGAGTTGGTGAGCATCTGTACCATCATGTAATTCCACACATTTTCTCGGTGTTACTTGATTCCCATATCAAACGTTTGCCGACTTTATTGATTGTGAACCTACCTGTTTTTTTTGCGAAAGCTGATGTTACGTATTAGTCATCCCTATTCTAATATATCAGCCGTAAAGTAATCCAGATACCTGCATTAACGACACTGGGTTTCTGATCACTATATACACTGCGTCATAGGCCTGTCACCGCAGTTAGCTAGTGCATGCTTAGTCCCGTTTACTGCAGTTCGTGCAAGGGGTACTATTAGTTTGAAATTCTCAGATTGGATTACAAATCAAGTTCAAATACTTCTAAATGCTTTCCTCGTAGCATTTTTCAAGAGTGAGCTGATAAAGACAATTCAGGTTGGCGTAAGATGCGAAGTCATAAACCTCTGCTATTGGGACTAAGGGCTTGCCTAATTGAGGTCAGAAGATATTTGAAGCGGTTCTTCCATGTATCAAAATTAGACTGTGTGAAGGCTGGAGATACTGCCCGGTTCTGTCCACGCTGTTCAACTCCAGTATTCTTGTGGAAGTTACAATATTAAGTCAATGATCTCATATTCATTGCATCTTATCACAGCCTTATCATGACATCACATGATCTATGAACTGGTGTTGTCAGTCCCAGCTTTGTGACAGTAAATGACATGTGCAATGTAACCGTATGGACTTTGGACTTAAGTTAGGGAACTCTTGTCTTTTTAGCGAGTAGCATTATGTGTCATCACAGTAACGTTCCCTGAGAATTTGCCATGGGTAACAGTTCTAACTTGAAGATTTTAGGAGGAATTAGGGCAACTGCAGATTATATGGTTGATCATTTTTATTGTGCTTTCCATTTCAAATATGTTGAACTGAGATCGCAAGTTAAGAATACTGTTTTCGGGATGGCTAAGCTCAGCCTGGTCCTAAGGATACTGGAAGACCGAGATTCACTTTGTTATGAAGTTTTAAGTAAATGTAAAAAGCACAAGAGGTTCTCTGTGACTGATATCTCTGTTTAATTTTGGGCATGAGTCTGCTGGTGTGGGTTTGGCGTGTAGGGTGAGATTGAGATGGGAGGTTAGTGAGTTATGTTGGAATCTTCACCAAACGAGGCTACTAAAGCATACAATAAGCCTCACTTACGTATTCCAATAAGCATTGTTAGTTGAGTTTGAATTAATTTTAGGGTGAATTACCATAAGTCAAACAAAGACATCAGTTCGTGAAGCCACTACTATTCCGAGCCTTGTGTGGATATTATAAATTTTTTGCTTACGTTCCTTGAGATTCGGTTTCAGTGGTTGAAGTTCTTGTAATATAACTTAAATCCCCATCCTTAAGTAGCAGCTACATTCATTTTTCCTCATGTTGATTCCAAGTGTTTTCTACTCTTCGCCTAACTGCTCTCCTGGAAATGTTATTCTATTTCATCTATCCTCTTATTGTGTGCTTTTCGGAAGTTAAGCATTTACTTGAATGTGTGAGGTTATGCGTCTTCTGAGCAGTCAGTATTTTAAGACTGCCTTTGATAATGTCTCAGACAAACTGGTGTTAGCGGTGCTATCAAGTGTTGGCCAAAACATTTGTGTCATCATGAATAGAATCACTTCTGTTAGTGTTTTGAATCAAGTAAATATGAAACTGTCAAAAGCTATACGATAACTATAACTTACATCTTGTTCCAGTAAGATGAATTCAATTCAGCCTTTGGATCGGATTGCGTACAATTGCAACTCTAAGTGTCTGAATTGACCTAGATGAACCCACCGTTTTATCAAGAAAACCTGGATGTTGGTGTTTATACATATGTACACTTGGTGTGCGTCAATACGAAATTAAAATACTCAACATTGCAGCCCTATTAAAATCGCGTGATTTTTAAAATAATTTTTGATCTCATGTGGACGTATTGTGATGAAGTGAGCCCCCACTGTATGACAGTGCATTTCTTTCTGTTAATCTAGTTTGCAAGAAAATGTTTTATCTGTAATAACTGACTTCATCGTTTGATTATTCCTCAATTATGACACACGGAGCCATGTAGATTTATTCATATACACCAGATCAAAGCTTTTTAAAACTGATAAGGTATTACATGTTAGCAAGCATTTCTCAGTTTGTAAATCTTACAGAATCCTTTAATTGTACATTTGTGTGAAAATTTTCAGAAATGGTCAAGGCCATGATTGATGTAGCTAAAATGAGTGAAGGCGAACTGACAGTGGAGGAACGGAACCTTCTCTCTGTTGCATATAAGAATGTTATAGGAGCGCGCAGGTCATCATGGAGGATACTCAATTCAATTGAGACAAGAGAAGAAGCCAAAGGCTCTGTTAACTTGGAAATAATCAAGCTTTATCAAAAGAATGTTGAGAACGAATTGAATGAAATATGTACCAGTATTTTGAACCTGCTTGATGAATACTTGGTGCCGAAAGCTACTTCGAAAGAATCACAAGTTTTCTTGCACAAAATGTAAGTAGATTTATTCATTGCACATTTTCTGTTTAGGAAAGGCGATTACCATCGATACAGAGCTGAGTTTGCCGTTGGGGACCAACGAAAAGCTGCCGCAGAAAGCAGTCTTGTCGCATACAAAGAAGCTACACAGATTGCAAGTGACCTTGCCTGTACCCATCCTATTCGACTTGGACTTGCTCTAAACTTCTCCGTGTTTTACTATGAAATTCTGAATAATCCTGAAAGAGCTTGTCAGATAGCTAAGTCAGCTTTTGACTTAGCTATTGCTGAACTGGATACATTGTCCGAAGAAAGCTATAAGGATTCAACTATCATAATGCAGCTGTTACGAGACAATCTGACACTCTGGACTTCTAATATACCCGGTGAAGAAGAGAAGGATAACACTGCTGCTTCTCCAAAAGGCGAGGAAAAGTAACTAAGAATGTTTATATCAGCACTGGTTATATTGCCTGTTACACTTACCCTGTATGTCTGTGAAGGGGCTGCAATTGATTTTTTTCGATTGGAGTCAATATTTGTATCTCATGTTTGCTAGGAGTATGCAGAGGTTATTCAAAATATAGAAAAAAAAATCAAATTTTTTTGTCTTGGTGTTTCCGGGATAATATCATTCTAGTGTTTGTGTTCACTCAGATTTAATATCCAAGCAGGACTATCGTAAAAGATTCTAATTAACAGGTTTTAGAGATTTATTTCGGTATGTTGAAATGGTTTTGTTTAATTGTTATCGTCATCTGTCTTGACCAACTAATTGATTATAAATTCCAGAAATGAGTTGCAACATCTATACTTAGTATCATCAAAGAGGTTGACGTATCCTTTGTTGAGCAGTGATATTTATGGCCATGTGAACCTATTACAGTAGACGACGTAATTTAATTTAATTCTGGTTGACTAGGGGAACCAACATTGAACCTAACACAGTGATTGTATTAACCGCACTTCAGAATAAGCATATTCGTTTCCTGAAGTGTTATTTAGGTAAAAGTAAGAAATATTGGGAATCAGAAGAAGTTGAAACCAATGGAATGATTTCTGTATATCCCTACCAAATCATTATCTCTAGGGTCTTTGAATGTATGTCGGGACTTCCAAAACAAGCGCTAGGAGCCTTCGTAAATTGGTTTAATCTGTTGATCTACCTACCCCCAACTTATATTTGTCTTTATTGCTATTTCTGCTAACATGTTAAACCTCTCAGCAACTTCGGCCATGTAAACATATGACAGTTTTGCTTGTTATCAATAATCTGCAACTCAAAAGAAAGTTTGCTTTTTAGATATGAATTTCTGGATATCTAAAGTGTTGAAGCCAGAGCTGGGAACAGTGTGGAGTATGTTTTCACCGTTAATAAAGGAGTTTCCAATGGTAGCTTGAAACTTGTGCGTTTTGGCTTGGACTAATCGCATCTAGTTGTTAATCAAAAGGTGGAACTGATAATGTGGTTACTGTCAGATGAATATGCCAAATAAGACAGTTATCTAAACAGTCTGTGACATTTGCCAAAAGTATCGGCAGGACATGCAGTACTGAACAAAAAGTCTAAACTTTTAATAAGTGGTTCTCATCAGTTAAGCCAACATTCTGAAGTAGAAGAAAATGAGACTTGGTAACAAACCCTTATTTAGGAAAAACATCATATTTACACATTTTTGGCCAAATTAAAGTTCGTCTAGGTCGGAGGATAACAAATTGTCCTGATTGGTTGGCAGTTGGTCCTAGGTTAAGCGAGTTGTCCCATATGGTTATTTCATGTCCACGCAGTTATAATCCAGATTTAAACAATAAACATTTCAACCTCTGCAGCCGTTGGCTTAAAATGTTGATTCCTGTTAACTCCCCTTCCTATCAACATGCATCACGCTACAATTGTATCTATAAGCCCTACTGAATTTCAACTGAGGCTTCATATATATTTCATAGGATCTGTGTATACTCTAAAAACCTGACCGTAGTCGTTATTTACATGGTGCTTTCATATTAGATAAGTTTGTTTTAATAATCACACAATGATGCATTATTAACAACTGGATAACGTTTCGAGCATAAATTATTGCTCATTATCATATCAGTTTAGTTACACGTTTTCACATTTTGTGAAAATTTATGCTCGAAACGTCATCCAGTTGTTAATTCTGCATCACTGTGTGAAGTAGTAGAGCACGTTGACCGCCTCACTTAAATGGGAAGTACCATCAGCCAACGCCAACTGGTTGATCTCTGACGAAATCTCAGCACGGATAAAGAAGGCTAGTTTCGCATATGCCAGTTTACGCCGTCTCTGGAGTAGACGTGATATCCGGCTGGCTCTCAACCAAAGGGCGGGTGTACTGCTCATCAGTCCGCTCCGTTCTCGTTTAATGGTTGCCTGTGAGATCTGGCTATTGAGAGTGGAAGACATGAAAAGACTAGCTGTCTTTGATCGTAGGTGCCTGCGTTCTATCTCCCGTGTGAAGTGGTTTAATAAGGTGAGCAATATTGAGGTTAGGCGTCGGTCGAGTGCTAGGTAAGGAGGAGAAATCAATCGACGAGGCTGTGAAATTACATCGACTGAGATGGTTGTGACATGTGTTACGTATGCCTAGTCATCGCTTTCCTCGACAACAGGCAATGTTAGCTGACATAGGGTCAAGCTGGAAAAGAGCTAACGGCGGTCAAACCAAAACATGACACCAGTCAATGAAATCCACAACAGTTAGTTTAAGCCAGCCATGTCGGAAGGTGTAGACTTCTTGACTGGTTGGGGTCCTCGGGACGGTAAAAAGCAATGAAGGCTAGACACAATTGGTGATATGGCTCAAAATCGTTCTCAGTGGCGCAGATGCATCCACTCCTTGTGACTTATGATTTCCAATGAGACTATATCGTTCTTCGTTATAACTATTCCTTTGTCTCACATCTGTGTTTAATGTCTCTATTATGCATTTCTTCTCTTGCTTTGTGTGCTACATGGAGTGTGGCGGCTTGAACTGGTGCACATCGGTGCAAAGTTCTATGTCAAAAACAGATAGACTGTGCGTGATTATTAAAATAAACTTACCTAATATGGAATTACATTCTACCACCACAGTGTCTAAACCCTACACTTACATTATTTGGCGGTTTGTCCATGTGAAGTTGATGCTTTTTGTTTTCTTTAGTAATATCAGTAATGTACTTTATTCCAAAGCAGTACTGATGTTACAGTGTGGAATTCACAGCATTTGGTACAATATTGCATATAGTGTTATCGAATAACATTAAAAACAATTATAAAGATTATATTACAGGATTGTTAATGACAGTTCTTATTTGGTATTTCTAGTCACAATGAAATCATATATGTACAAAAAAGTAAGCAATTGTAAATAATAATAATGAGGTTAGCAGCTAAGATTGTCAATTTAATTGAGGATAGTGTCACTATAGATTACAAATAGGAGATAATAAAAAAGCCGATTATTACGCTAACAGCATAATTCATAAGTTTCAGGCTTAACATTGTCTCTGTCGCCTAGAACACGGGCCAAATATGGTATTGTTGAGTTCTTATACTTGGTAATATGAGCGTATAACGTTTTCTACTGACTTTTAGTTCTACCAGATGAAATAGAAAGGGAGAGTTAAGTATTGAGGGGGTAATGAGAGTCAGAGAATATAGATTTAGACCATGTCTCGCATGAGTTCAAATGTCCGTCAACTGATGTAGTAACAAGCCGACTAAGTTGCACACCACCTGCCTTACTGACAACCTTTATTACCCATCTCAAAATGATATAGTCCTTTTTGAGTAACCCGGGAAAGACTAAGCGGGTAGCAGTAAAGTGCAATAGGTAAGATACAAGAGTTAACAAATTTTAAAAGCAGAGGTTGAGTGGTTCCAAAATGTTCTAGCTTTTTAATGTAGTAGCTTAGACGGAACTCTTTCTTCGAGATCGACAAAATATGGGATGATCAAGTAAGGTCAGAGGATAGGACTACATCCAGGTATTTGTGTTAGACCTAGTTTCTATTACAGTCCCGTCTATGCTACAAGCATCGTTTGTACTAACCAGTCGTTCTAAATCGCGTTTATCTCTAAAGGAGAAGTCAGTAGTCTGGCATTTTGAGAGATTCAACGTAAGACCATTTAGCTCAAACCACGGACTGATGTCTGACAAAAATTGTTATTAAGTTTGCAACAGTCTGATTGGGACTTGACAGGAAGCCAGACGGCCAGTTTATCAGCGTATTTAGCCAAGTTTGATTTCATTAGAAAGAGGTAATTCATGTAAGAAGAAAGAAAGAAAAGCAGCGAGATACAGCACACCCTGGGGAACACTAGTTGGTTTCGTCGCTACTTCAGTGCAATTTATTCCCTCACATGAAATTTACTTGATATAAGTTTAATAAATGTTGTGAATACGTGTGAAAGTTTTATGTGACTAATAAAGTTAGGTTTGAAAAACTGTTGGAGAGTTTAAATTAATATATAATTTTTACGTGATAAGTCCATGCAGTTGGAATACGCTACTCTCAAGTATAATCAGTTAACAAAATGTCTAAAGCCGCACATAAATGAACCTGAGTTTCATAAGGCTGAAGATTCGCAGTGTTTTTCGGCATTATGTCGTTTACTTCCATAAATACCATTCAGGAAATTTGGATTTTCATGGAAGATATCCATCCAGACATGCAAATAACAAACAAACAGTTCAGTGAGGAGTCTATGTTCGGCGAATTCATCCACTTAGCTGTACAACGGCAATTATACCTAATTATTTCCCTTTGTAGGTGTTTGTGCACATTAGGCTTGTCAAACAAGACTAAAAATTAGCTTGGGTTGTTGTTTACATCAATAAAAATATTTTAGAACAATGATAAATTATCAGAATTGTAAGTACAAGGAGGGACAGTGAATATTTGTAAGTCTAGACTATGGTCACGCAATATGTCGTATGGGAAGTGCACAAAATAGTATTAATAACAAAAAATTGATAACAGTTGGACTTGTAGTTATACTCAAAGTAACAGAAGGGACTGGAGGAGTTTTTTTTCTGTGTATATAAATCAGAGTTTTCTATCCGAATTGCTAAGTGCTCATCAGTGCAAAGTATGCGGAAGCTTACTGTTTTTTTTCTGGAGGTTTCTTTTGACGTCAAAGTTAACTTCGAATGCATCCTCCTTGCATATTGAGGGACCAGTATTGAATATATGTTCACTTTATTGATCCACCGTTGCCTTTTCGTAAACAAGCAAACTTGAATTAGTCTCCACTTGATTGAGCTATATCGAATTGGTTAGGTAATTTTGCTGTCACCTATCAGCTGTCTGTCTGTTTTCGACATAGAACTTTGCACCGATGTGCAGCAGTTCAAGCCACCACTCCATGTAGCACACAAAGCAAGAGAAGAAATGCATAATAGAGACATTAAACACAGATGTGAGACAAAGGAA